GGTTTATCTAAAGTCTGGTCAGGGAGTGAGTGTTACTCGTAAGTATAACCATACAGGAGGAAATGCAAGAAAAGATCTAGCTAAGACTGGGTCCTAATGGTTTCAGTGGCCCCCCAAGGCTTCAGGTGTTTTCTTCTCCATGGTGAGATATTAAGAGAGCAGAAACTTAATTTGACCATGGTGTTTAGAGTAAGGCCTTTGAGAGATGACTAGTATTAGAAAAAGTCATCAGGGGAAGCCCCTGTGATTGAATCCTGGTGGCTTTATACGAAGAGGAGACCAGAAGAGAGAGACACACATGCACACTCCCTGTCTCTTTCCATGTCGATGCCCTGCAGTGCCTTGGGACCTCATGAGCAAGAAGGTCATCACAAGATATAGGTCCTCATTGCACCTTAGAACTGTGAACTAAAATTATTTTCTTTATGACTTAGCCAGTCTGTTACTGTGTTATTGGCAATGGAAAATGGATCAAGACAGTGAGAAATATATGACAGGGTGGAGTGTAAGTCGCAAGCTATTATTAAAGTCACAGTGAAGCCAGTGATGGGTTAACTCATTCCCTAGCATGAACAAGTCTGTTTGTCACTGTTTGTGTTGTGCCTCACTTCTCTATGCCTCACTCTCCAAATAATTAACTCACAGTTCATTTTACCTGAAAAAAAAAAATAAAGAAAAACATGAAAGAACACTAGTCATATGAACTTCTAATCAGGAATCTTTCTTAGATTTACAGGAACACCTGGTGATCTGTGGACAACATTGAAACCATGTCAAGAGAACTGATTACTGAAAGAATTAATGTCCATTCTGGTATGCACTTGACTATGGCTAAAATCAGACTCAGAAACCCCATGACCCTGGCAAGATGGAATCTGGGTGAAAGCCCTTCATCTTCCACCCATCAACTTGTTGCCAGTGCAGCAATTTGTTCTCTTGTCACTCTGTCTCGAGTTATTGGCTTTGTCAGGTGGCAGGTGGCAGTGGAGCAGGACCTTTCATGGTTACAATAGCAGGGATGAGGGGAGAGGAGTCGAGGGAGGTGGGGGCAGCTCATGCCAGCATCTGAGCAGGGCTTGCTGCCATTTCCTGTGATTGTCTAGGGTAAGTAAAGCTGGCTCCACATGACCATTCTCGGCCATGTCTGGCTGCCCTGGAAGGAAGTTTGGTGCGAACTGACTCCCATTTCCACCATAACTGAGAGATCATCTATAACCACAGCAGTCCCATCACTCACCCCAGAGACAGCAAACAAAAGTAATAGTGAAAAGGCAGGACAGGATTTTATCAACATAGCCTTGTCAGGACGACATGTGATTAAGCATCTCAGCCTCTTTGGGGTGCTGACATGAAGTTTAAAATAGAGAAAGAATGGGGGAAAAAGGAGCCAGACGTATGCACAATTAAGTGGTTTTGACCAAACTGTGATCATTGTCTTAGTTCTGGTTTTGAAAAAAGGTCCAAAAAAGTCCTTTTTACTTGAGGGGACAATCCAGTTCCCATGGGATGATTGCACCTGTTTAGGAGTGATATCATTATAAGGTGATCTGTCTGCCAGGCTCTGCTGTTCCTGGAATCCAAGGTGACTGCAGGTTTGGGACAGTGAATGGAGATTTCCTGGTGCCTTTTGTGGGTCTGGAACAGGACATTGTAAAAGCTAAGAGCGAGATGCCTCAGTTACTCTTACCCTTGTGCCTTCAGCCATGAAGGGGGATGAGATAGGTTATATATCACTGTTCTGTTTGTTTGTTTTTGTTTTTGCTGTTTGGCAGCCCTGGTATCACTGGTTTTTAAGACAGATACTCCTTGAGTGATTAACATGCCTAAGTGCAGAGTTAAGCAGGAGTGTGACCCAAAGTTTTAAGACAAATGAGACCAATGCAAAATGAAGGGAGGGATACCAGGCTTTTCTCCTGCTTTTAGAGAGGAGTCAGTGCTTTTCAGAAAAAGCAATTTCTTCCCTCCCTTTCCCCTTTCAGTACTGGGGTGCACCTGCTAGGCAAGCACTCTGCCACTTGAGTCACACCTCCAGTCCTTTTTGCTTTATGACTTTCCAGATAGGGTCTCGCATATGGGAAGGACCCGAATGAGCTAGCATAGGGCTGCACTTACATCCCTGGGAAAAATGAGGCAGAGGGATCCTGTTGAACATTCCTTTGGATGACTAGTCCCCTTTGTTCTAGGCACTTGGTACAGCCCACTCATTCATGTTGCTATATTTTTTTGACCGTTATTAGCTTGCCCAAAGACATTAAATCTGAGAAGGTGGTTAATTTTGGTCCTTGTAGCATAGGTGTCTGCTTATTATGACTTTTAATGACTACCCTTCAGATTAAAGGGGGGTAGTAGACCAGGCAGTTTTCTTGAAGCTATGTGTGCTTGATCCCAAGGGCACAACAATCACCTGAAGCAAGGACAAAGGTGAGGAGGGAAGAGCATCTTTTTACTGTCTATTATTGCTCAGTGAAGGAGTAGGAAACTTAAAGAAAATGGCGTTTGTGCACTTCTAATCAGGTTATACATTAGCGCAAGATTTATTTCTAAATTCCTGCTTTCTGCCTTTCATGTCTGTGTCCCTGCCTCAAAACCAAGGGGTCCAACTGAGTTCTCCTGACTCTCTCTGCATTCATGTGACCGGGACTTTTGACTTGCACACATATAAAGGGTCACACCAGCCAGTCCAAGGAGAATGTCTGGGGGAGTGTGTTGGCTGACTGTTCCCTAAAGATCACACCTTCTGGGAGGTGGCTTCACCATGGTCCCTGGGTGAGTCACTTTTTCCAGAAATGGAGATCTGCACCTCTCCTATAGCACATCAAGGGCAAGCAATATTCGTAAAAGTGATGGGGAATTTTCTGGGATGAGTGGTCCTGTCAACTAAAAGGACTGCTTTCTAATTTGGTTCACTGTCACGTTCAAAAATTAAAAGCCAGGCTGAGTGTATAAACTCAGTGATAGTGCACTTGCCTATCAGGTGGGAGGCCCTGGGCTTAATCCCCAGCACTAGGCAAAAAAAAAAACCCAAACATATACAGTCTGAATGATATTTAAAGTTTAGCTGCATTTCATTACTTGCATTTCTGAATTAAAAATATTTTTTATCTTTAATTGATACAACGATTTGATATATAGACTACAGTGTGACATTTCAATACATGCATATAATCAGAACAGGGTAACTTATATCTACCACCTGAAATGTGTATCAGTTCTTTGGCTGAGAGCATCCAAAAATGTTCTCTACTGGCTATTTTGAATTGTCCAATTAATTGTTGTCAATGATAGCCTACTGTGCTATAGAAAATCAGAAGTTATTCCTTCTAAACAACTGCACCCTGTGCCTGGTGTCCATCTCCCCACACCCCAAGAAAAAAAATCCCTGAATTTCAACAAAAGTCAACAACTCAGAATACAAGACTTAAACTTCTGACAGCTCCTCTCAATTTCCACTTTGTCTATGCATTTCCTAATTTTCCAAGAGGATAAAGAATGCAGGTGCTGGCAGCCTGCTCCACAAAGTGCATCAGTCATCCTCGGTTTCCTCTTAGCTTTCCCTGTGTAGGTGCATTTGCACAGCCCATCGGACTGGTTGGTTGAGCCGGGGAGAACAATCTTTGCCTATTCTGCCTCAATTACTGGTGAAACAGGAGGGAGCCTGCGACCAGGAAACTCAACTCTCACCTTCCTGGACTTCTGTGACCCCTGGATTTTAACTTGTGCTCCTCCCTATAGCTCTTCTCTTTTTTGTTATAGCATGTACAAATACCTTCCTTATTTCTTTATTTTTTATTCTCCTCCATGGAAAGTAAGCTGGAGGCCTGGGACAGGTCAGGATTCTTGGAAGCAGTGAGCTTCCAAGTCTGGGCGGATGGATCCTGTTGTAGGGGAGGAGGGACTTTCACGGAACTTTCTCAGGTTCCACAGTGGGTCCATTAAATTAAGGGATACCTGGCAGATTCATAGGACAAAGGGCATGCAGGTTTAGTAACTTAATATTACTTGCATGAAGGCATCACGGGAAAAAAAAAGCGATGAGATTAGAGAGTTTATACCGTCTTAATAGGGGGAGAAGGGGACGTAGTCCCTTTATTGGAGATGGATACGGGTTCCTTAGAGGAGTAGGTGAGGGAGATGTGAGAGGTTGTGACAAAGTGTGTCCAGAGCGGCGTCAGCTTGTCTTGACTGACCTGCGATGGGTCCATCTTCCCTGGCTAATGAAATTTCAGAGAGATTGTGATAATACAGTTAGGCAGCTGAAGACAGCACAGAGAAAACTTTCCCCGCACATTTGCTGTTTTCCAAGTGCCGTCACCTCAAAATAACCACCGTGCCATTCTGGCATCCTTCGTTGTTTCTAATTTTTAACATTTTGTTCAATGTATGCTTTGTTGCATTAATTTTGAATTTAAAAAACATTGTATTTATACATTATTTACCTCTTTGGGCGTGTCCTTACACGTTTCCCCCACACGATTTCCTCCTCCAGCCCGAGAGGAAGCTCACTACGGGCACCCCAGGGTCTACACAATGCCCGCTCTATTAATACTCTTGATCTGCAAATGCAACATTGAGAACCGCCCCCAGTTTTTTCCAGGACGCCAGGATATGGGTTGTCGGGGCAAACACCCAGAAAGAACAAAGCCCCGGTTCCCCCAGCACGTGTCCATGCCTGGTACAGACCTAACAGCTCTTCCTCTTCTTCCTCCTCCACCCTTCCGAAGCGATGGGCTGGTGAAGAGCTCCAAGGTAGGGTTCAAGGGCACCGGGCGGGGCCCGCAAGGCTGAGAGAGCAGGGCTGCGGTGGGGCGGGAGGGTGCGGGAGGAGGTGGGTAGGACCCGAGGGTGCGCGCTGCCGCGGGTACTCGGTGGCGAAGGAAACCCAGAAAGTCACGGGGTGCGGGGGCGGGGCGCGACTGAGTGGAGCGCTCGAGGGTTGGAGGACGCGGGGTTGCCAGGGTGGCGCGGCTCTGGAGCGGGTCAGACACCTGGATTGTCGGGTGTCTGTGACCGTCCTTCCGGCGGCTGCGACACTGTTGCTTCAAGCAGGGTCGTGGCTCGGGCGAGGCCCCAGCTCCGGGCGCAGCTGGACGGGTCTTGCGCCCCGCGCTGCGGAGAGGGACGGAGCACTACAGCCGCTCACTGCCGCCGGCCAGCTGGTGACAGGCGTCCCGCAGGTGATCTTCGGTCACCAGGTGGCCTCCCTTCCGCGCCATGGTGGACGTGTTGGGCGGGCGGCGCCTGATGACCCGCGAGGGCAGGGCGGTGGAGGCCGATGTGGCGCTGCAGAACAAGGTGGTGGCTCTGTACTTTGCGGCGGGCCGGTGCGCGCCCAGTCGCGACTTCACGCCGCTGCTTTGCGAGTTCTACGCCGCGCTGGTGGGCGAAGCCAAGCGGCCCGCGCCCTTCGAGGTGGTCTTCGTGTCCGCGGACGGCAGCGCGCAGGAGATGCGGGACTTCATGCGCCAGATGCACGGCGCCTGGCTGGCGCTGCCCTTCCACGACCCCTACCGGCAGTGAGTGCGGGGCCTGGGGGCCCCAGATCCCACCTTCCTGCACCCTGGGGCTTTCGGATGTTCCTCTCTAACTCCTTTCCAGTCCGTGATCGGGAGGAGACGCAGAAAGACCCCCGCCCAGGGTCTGGGAGCAGGCCAGGGTGACAATCGTGCCCGCAGGACAGGGTAGGGGTGCGCTGGCGGGAGGGGGGGGGGATGGCCAAGGCTGGAGGAAGCTGGATGCTGGCCACGTTCGCGATTTCGCTTTTACCTGAAGTGATAGAATTTTGTAACTATAATGCGTTAGGTTCATGAACGTAAGTTTCATTGCTGTTAATATAGGAGGAGCCAGGTGGAGGCAGATTTGGAGCGACTGCAGTCTTCTCTCTGAAGGGATCCCCAGCTCGGCTGGATTTCCCAGAATCTGAGAAGGAATCGGAGTGGAGTTTCCTGCCTCCCTCGCTCTGGTTTTGGGCTCCGGGAGATGAGGGAGGGGGCGTATGGCTGGGTACTGATGGTCCAGTGTGGGATGTAAGAGTCCCGACTAGTTTTAAAGCACACGTCACAAAAGCGCATTGCGCAGCCCCTCACTCCACGTGCAGATGTGAAAGCGTGGGTGTTGCTTGAGGCTGGTCTCTTAGGTTTATCATTTAGTTGTGGTGTTACCCCCCAATTCTTTCTGGAAAACGAAAAATGAGGCTTACTTTGGGAAATTCCATAGAAGCTTAATGAACCGGAAGAAGTGCGATTATCCTCTTATACACACGCTCTGCTGTGGCGATTCCTAGCTTGGCCAGAAGCTGCTCAGTTGCAGAGGGATGGGCGGCGTCACTCACAGCAGGAGATAAAAGTCTTACAGATAAATCTAAATAACAGCTGATTAACCTTGCCAAAGTTAGGGAGTCACTTTCGGTGCTGCGTTTTAAAATAGGAGTTGCGTGGCAATCAAGTTTACATGCAGCTTTTGAAAGTACACACTTATTTTGAAAGTGAGGCACTGATGGTAGTTACTAGGCAAAGAACTCAGGCCCTGGGAGAGCCCAGTTCTGGGATTACCCATGGGGGATGGGAGGCAAGTTGTTTTATTGCCAAGCACAGTGACACACATTAAGTGTTTGTGGGGTTGACCTGATCCAGTAAAGGGCTCCTAGCAGTGTAGGCTGGTTGTGGACAGCACTCTGGTCTATTGTACCATTTTACAGAAATGCCACTGAGGCACAGCCTACTTCTTCTGGCTAGGGGGACCCTGGCCAGTGTTCTCCCCAGGGCCATGGGCCTTGATGCCCAGGGGAAGGGCATCACTTTAGCTGCATGCATAAATCTCTGTCCCCTGTTGATCTGGTCACAGCCAGTGCAGCCAATTGGAGGCAGATAAAGCACTGGGAGCCTGAGATGATGGTACTGTACTCTGGTCATCTCTGCCTGGCCGTCTGGTCATCTGGTGTTCACCCTTAGACTGACTGTTCTTTTGTGAACTTAGCTGTTTGTCCCTATCCCTTTCTGGACTGAATGTTGTTAACTCTTCACTGCTGTATGTAAACTAGAAAGTAGATATTCTTGGGGCCTTGTTGGAGCTACACCCTAAATTCTGCTTATCCCACGCTGGGTTTATGAGCCAAAAAAAATGCATGAAGCGTTGAGGGGAAATTGTTAGATGTGCACCCCACTGGTACCTTGGAAGCTCCACTTGGTAGGTGAGTGGGGAAGGAAGCCTGTGCTGCCTTCCCTCAGAGCTAAAGCTTGTAATCTGCTATCCCCTGTATTTCTTGAGATCCATCTGAGCATAAGGGAGAAAGAGAGAAAAATCCTCCACTTCCAGGGAAATCACTTGTGGTGACCCTTCAGGTCACCCTGTATGGCTAGAAGCAGGTGATGACCTCAGTGCACCTATAGGCAGAAGAAGCTAACTGCCACTTCCTGGTCTCCCAGGTTGCTGTGCTCCCCATTGAGTTGGTGCTTGGTTCAAAGATAGTTATGGTCTGGCACTGCCTTGTTCCAACTCTCTGGGGGTTCCCTGATTCCTGTTGCTCACAGGACCAAGCCAGATGTGGTTTAGAATTTGGGACCCACTGTGTATGTGTTTAATAGATGGCTGGAGCAAGTAAGCAAGAGAAAGTGCTTTAGAGAGATTTGCCTGGCAACAGTCTTCAGCTGAAACTGGAGTCCGAAGTTGCCATAGCAACCCAGAAGCCCTTTTATCAGGGACAAGAATGTGGCTGGATTTGATGATGGGAGGGACAGACGTTGCAACAGCACACAGGACAACCACAAACGGGGCTCTTGGATTTTCCCTAAATGGTTAAAATGTTCCTGAGTAGCCGGTGCGGTGGCTTTCTGCTGTAATCCCAGCTACTCAGGAGGCAGAGATTGGGAGGATTGCGGTTTGAAGCCTGCTTAGGTAAATAGTTCACGAGACCCTCTCTTGAAAAAACCCTTCACAAAAAAAACGCAGGTGGAGTGACTCACAGTGTAGATCGTGAGTTCAAACCCCAGTACCGAAAAAAAAAAAAAAACAATGTTCCTGAGTTAAGACAATGACAATGAGCCCCCCTCCAAAGCGCTTCTGTTCTCTGCGGACATAGCACGGTGTCCAGAGGGCTTAAGAGGACGAAGGGGAAGGTGGCTGTTGGCCTCTCCCTTGCAGTTCCAAGGATGCATTTGTTTACAGGCAGAGCCTGCCAGGATGATGACTTGAGGGCTAGCACTGGGCACCTCTGAAATTAAGGGAAAACAAGCAAATGACAACCTCAAGCCCCTCGTGTTCCTCAAAGCCCAGCTTGCCTTGCTTCCTCCTGCTCTCAGAACTTGATTTAGTGTTCACTGATTAGACGAACAGCCACAGTAACTCAAAGCACTTAACACTAGAGATTATAGATGCTCAGGCTACAGGCAATGACTGACTGGCAAATCTAGTCTCTCCTCATGGTGACAGAGTGGCTGCAGCATCTCACATGGTACATCCTCAGACTTTCCTCTTTTTCAGTACACAGGCAACTGCTCCATGTCCTAGTTAGCTACTCTAGTTAGGGATCTATTGACTGAGCAGTCAGCCCAGCTGTACTTGGAGGTAGGTTCTTCTCACCCAAGAAGAGCAGCTGGTGTTTATTGTATATTTATGTGGTAAACGCCATTCTTGCTAAGTCGATTACGTATAAATCATTAATCCTAAGAACAGCCTTGGGAGGTGGGATCTGTTGTCCTGTAGTGCAGATGAGGAATCTGAGGTGCGAGGAGGCTAACTAGCTCTCTGAGTTCCCACGTCCTAGGAAATGGAGGTTTCCAGAGGAAAGTGCAGCAAACTCTGTCCTCAGCCTCCCTCAGCACTTCTTCTCTCTCCAGGCAGTGGGAAGCAGAAAGCCCTGTGAGACCCCAGCAGGGCAGGCTTTTAAACCCGATCTCTGCCAGGTGTCAGTGGCTCAAGCCTATAATCCTAGCTACTTGGGAGGATAAGATGGGGAGGCTCTCAGTTTGAGGCCAGCCTGGGCAAATAGTTGGTGAGACCCCCCCGATCTCCAAAATAACCAGAGCAAAATGGACTGGAGCTGTGGCTCAAGTGGTAGAGCACCTGCTTTGCAAGTACAAAGCCCAGAGATCAAACCCCAGTCCTACCAAAAAAGCTCCTCCCCATTCTTCCCCCCCCCCAAAAAAAACCCCCAACTTGATCTCCTCCCTCCCAGGGTCAGGGTCAGGGAGACTGCAGTTCTAATGGATCTCTGGGTCATGCTGATGCTGCTATCTGGAGACTTCGAATGGTACTGCCATTCACCTGGGAACCTGTCAAGAATGCAGATGTTGGGTGGGCCCTGGATGCCTTTAGCGACTCTGGAGAAGATGCTGCTGTGGCAACCAGCAGCTGGATTCTCTTGCTGCCTCCTGCCCCCCAAAAGCTTGTCAGGGACTCCTCCTCATCTGGCAGATGGCTCCCGAGTCCCCGGGAGTACAGAGAGTCCCTCCAGGTTTTGCTGCAGCTGGACTGTTTGCTTCCTTTTCTGGAACGTGGTAGGTGCTGCCCTGTCCCACCCTGCCGCTCAGAGCACAGGCACTGAATAATTGATTTGCCAAAACTACCAAGGAATTTCAATTTGGCAACTGGCCACTTTGCTGTAGTCATTATGCAAAGTGCTCTTTGGGTCATTGCTCTTCATGTTTTGGTTTTAGGCTTTTGAGAAAAGTCACTTTCTTAGACATTTCAAATTTCAGGCATCGTATGGGATTCTTCAAACACTGGGGGAAAACATCTGTGCCATACCTTTCGTACCTGCTGCGTGGTTCCTAGGCCTGTGTAGGCTCTGTTTGGCTATTTCCCAGCTTCAGTTTGGTGGGCTGTGTTTGTGAAGGGTCCAGTGTCCTCAGACCTGCAGTTTGACCTGGGTTTGTATCAGTGGCTTTGGTTTGTCACCTCTATAGATGCAGGTTAGCACAGCAGTCTCCAGTTGTGTCTTTTTTTCTATGTGTGAGTTTTTTCTTTTTCTTTCTTTTTTTTGATGGTACTGCAGTCTGAATTCAGGGCTTCACACTTGCTAGGCAGTGCTCTACCTCTTGAGCATGCCTCTAGCCCTTTTTGATCTGGTTATTTTGGAGATAGGATCTTGATTTTTGCTCAGGATGGCTTGGACCACGATTCTCTATAAGCTTCCTGCTGTAGTTGGGATGACAGGTGTACCACCATGCCCAGTTTCCACTCTCCCCCACTACCTTGCCCCTCTCCCCCCCCCCCACCCCAGGTGAAATGGAGTCTTCTTTTGTGACCTGGCTAGCCCTGAACCATGATTCTCCTGATTTTAGCCTCCCAAGCAGCTAGGATTACAGGTGTAAGCCACTGGAGCCTGGCTTGTATGATTATTTTTATAAGTTTACATCTTTCTTTCTTCCACTTTTCCTTTTCTCTCCTTGTGAAATGGACACCATGGAAAATGGTTTTCTGAGTGACTGAGGTGGAGGCTGTATGCACTGATTCTTTGGGAAACAGACTTGTCCTGTGGACAAGAGTCCTCCTTACAAGGTATCAAGGGTCAAGTCTACACTGGGCCTCTGTACTGGCCAGACCCACGTGATGCCTGATGCTCATGTGTCTCCTCCTTCTCTGTTGCTCAGTCTCACATTTTAGTGTTTTCAAAGTGGTTTTATTGGGGAGTGGGAGGGAGGTAGTACTGGGGTTTGAACTCAGGACCTACACCTCCAGCCACTCTACCAACTCTTTTTTTTTTTTTTTTTGTGATGGGGTTTTTCAAGATGGGGGTCTCGTGAACTATTTGCCTGGGCTGGCTTCGACTGGTGATCCTTCTGATCTCTGCATCCTGAATAGCTAGGATTGTAGGCATGAGCCACCAGCTCCTGGCATTAGGTTATAGCTTTCTAAGTGTGTTTGATTGTTTGGGGTTTGTAGTATGGTTATAACTCTTCTTGTCCAAGAGAAATTTGTTCTAGGATCTCCCATGGGTACCAAAATCCATGGAGTCTTATGTCCTTTATATAAAATGGGGTAGTGTTTATATATAACCTATGCACGCCCCCACGAATACTTTAAATCATCTCTAGATTACTTAAAACACCTATGAGGTAAATGCTATATAAAGAATTGTTATTCCATATTGTTTGGAGAAAAATGACAAGAACAAACAGTGTTCAGTACAGTTGTAATTTTTTTCTTCAGTATTTTCAGTCTGAGGTTGGTTGAATCCAAGGATATGGAATCCTTGGGTATGAGGCCTAATTGTACATTCATATTGTTCTAAGTATTTTATAATCTACCTGGCTATTTCACATATTACCTTCAGTTATTCAGTTTTTAAACTCATTCTTAAAAATGATTTCTTATTGGTTTCCAATTCTATTAATGAGGGTCTGATTAAGTCATCTGTGTACTATTGATCAACTGAAGTTTATTAAGATTCCTTTGTGACAGAGAACACGATGGTTTTGTCAGGGCTCCATCTGTGTTTGAAAACAAAGTATATTCTTGGTTGAGTTGGGGGGTGGAGTATGTACGTTTTCCTGCTTGAGTGAGAGTTTGTCTTTTGACCTGGGCTCTGGGAAGCAACCTTGGTGGGGATGTGGTCCAATCCTTAGGGCTACCCATGGAGGAAATCAGGTTACTGTCACCTGTGAGGTCCTGGGCACCTGGCTTGTAAACAAGAAAGGGATTGTCTCACTGCCCTGCCTGAGGGAGGTAATCCTCTGGAAGGTTACATGAAGGTCATGGGGAGCATTGTGAGCTGCAAGGCAGGTGCTACTTTCCCTAATCAGAACATGTGGATTGGTGGAGTGGTTCAAATGATAAGAGCCACCTGCCTAGCAAGCCTGAGGCACTGAGTTCAAACCCCAGTGCTGCCAAAAAAAAAAAAAAAAAAAGGGAATCTGAGTTACAGCTACCTTTCATTTGGGTTGATTACAATAAGTCAATGCAGTCATTCTCATAGAGTTAAGCTACATAGTGGGAAGAGCGTCTAGAACATGCAACCATGAAAAGGCAGGTGGAGTCTGAAACATTTCTTCCACAACCATGTCTCTTGGTGCCTCACTGAATCTGCAAGGTGGAAAGTCTAATAAGGCTTTAACTATTTTTAGAACTCATGGACTTTTTAACTATCAGGTAACTTATAATTACCGGATAGTTTTCTTTTCCTGAGAGTAGGATATAAAAAAATTAACTAGGTTTATTTGTGGGTTTACAACTGCACTGTCCAATAGTGGAGCCCCCAGCCTCAAGTGGCTTCCTTCTCATTTAAGATAGCAGGGCTGGGAGTGTAGTTCTGTGGAGGTAGGTCACTTAACTGGCATGCTGGAGGCTCTGGGTTTGATCCCAAGTACCTCAACAACAACAGATGTTTAAATTAACAGTTAATTAAAATGAGAAATTCAGTTCCTGAGTACTTTGCTAACTTTTGAGTGCCCTGTGTGGCCACTGGCTCTAGTGCTGGGCAGGACAGAGTGAGGACACTTGTGTCACTGCAGACTTCTGTGGGTGAGGGGAGCTAGGACAGGCAGAGAAGGAGCCCACTGCCCAGCAGGTACCAGGCCTCTTGCTCCCTAACCGCGGTCCCCTCTTCTCTCCTACAGTGAGCTGAAGAAGAGGTACAACGTCACCGCCATCCCCAAGCTTGTGATCGTGAAGCAGAACGGGGAAGTCATCACCCACAGAGGGCGGAAGCAGATCCGGGAGCAGGGGCTGGCCTGCTTCCAGAGCTGGGTGGAGATGGCCGATGTCTTCCAGAATTTCTTGGACTGAGTGGGGAGGGACGGCGGGGGTACCAGGACGGGTGCCACGCCTGCTGACCAAACCCCAGGGGAAAGAGGAGCGGGATGATTGATGTCGTCCCCTTCTCTTCAGAGTCTCGTTTTATTCCACAGCAGAAGTGCTAATTGTGACAGAAAGTAAATGTGTCTCAGGAGAAAATGCCCTCACTGTTTGCAGGCTGTACCTTGTTTGTAGTTATTTTTGTTCTTTTCGTAACTTTATCCACCTGTGCCTAGTGAGGATCTGTGCATGTTCCCACTGAGCTATCAAAAATCTATGCAAAATGTTTACTTGTACAGGTCTCTTCAAGGAAAACGATCTACTTATTGATACATTTATTAATCAGGTTTGCAGACTGTGCTTTAATAAACAGATACCTACATCCTGAGCATTTCTGAGTTTTCATTCCAAATCAAGTGCCAGTAAAAGAAAACTAAGTCACTCAGTATACCATGATTCAAGTGTTTGTGAAAGGTGGCATTTTTTTTAGATAGCGTCTTGAATTTTTGTCTAGGGCCTGCTTCAGACAATGATTCTCCTACCTATGCTTCCTGACTGGCTGTCACCTTGCCCAGCTTGTTAGTTGAGATGGGGTCTTGCTAACTTTTTGCCCCAGCTGGTATTGAACTGAAATCCTCCCTATCTCCACTTCCCAGGTAACTGAGGTTATAGGTATGAACTACTGCGCCCAGTTGTAGTAGTTTTAAAGTATGTGCCTTTTTGGATTGTGTTTCCTTCCCATTGTCTTCTTTTCTCAATACTTTTTTTTTTTTTTTCCTGCACTGTGGTTTGAACTCAGGGCCTTGAGCCATTTGCCCACCTCAATACTTTTTATTTTTTGCAGTGTCAATTATTTCTTTTGTTGTGAAGGTCTCTTTCCTTCCTTCTTCCTTCCCTCCCTCCCTTCCTTTCTTTTCTTTTCCTTTTTTGGAATTGGGGATTGAACCCAGGGCCCAGCACCTGCTAGACAAGCACTGTTGCCACCACACCCCAAGCCCCTCAGTGTCAGACTGCATATACGATGATGATCTCATAGGATTATAATGGAACCAAAACAATTCCTATCACCCGGTGACATCTATCATGTTTGTACAACAAGGAAGTTTGCCAAGCAATGCATTTCTTAGTATGTGTCGCTATCATTAAGCAAAGGACCACGCTCACATCTTCAAGACCAAATCTCACATTTCCTAAAAGATGTCAGTCTATCCAGGTAAGCATAGCGCCCTGGTTTTACCAGTAAGAGGGAAGCTGTCCATGATTCAGGTGGTCAGCATTCCCCATAGCCTCTTGTCAGCCAGCCTCAGGGACAACATTAACTCAGTAATGTTCCTTTCAAACGTCATTCTGATCACATCTGTTGGAATCGTGACATACTGCAAACCCCCCATTAGCCCAGTTATCATCTTTGGATCTTGTTGGCTTGCTGGGTCCTTCAGCTGGGCATTTGGAGCAGAGGATGCAGGAAACCCAGCAAGTAAGCCACCAGCCCCCGGCTTAATAAGCTTTTTAATTGGATACAATCCCATTTGTCAATTCTTGCCCTTATTTTCTGAGCTCTTGAAGTCCAATTGAGAAACTCATGCTGGAGATGTGGCTCAAGTGGAGACTGCCTGCCTGGAGGAACTCATTGCATGCACCTAGATCTTCACTATATTTTCCTCTAGCAATTTCAAAGTTTTAGGTCTTACACCACAGTCTTTGAATCATTTTGAGTGATTTTTGTACAGGGTGAGAGATAAGGGTCTGGTTTATAAAGTCTTCTACCAGCACCATTTGTGGAAGAAGCTCTTTTTTCTCCAACATATGTTTTTGGCACCTTTGTTAAGAATCAGGTGTCTGTAGCTACATGGTTTTATTTCTGGGTTCTCTGTTCTACTCCATTGATCTGCAAGTCTGTTTTGTGACAGCATCATGCTGTTTTTTTTTTTTTTTTTCCACTATGGCTGTGTAGTATAATTTGAAATCTGGAATTGTGATACCTCCAGTATTATTTATTTTGCTCAGGATTGTTTTGGCTATTTAGGGTCATTTGTGTTTCTGTATGAACATTAGGATTTTTTTTCTATTTCTGTGAAGAATGTCTTGGAATTTTACTGGGAATTACATTGAACATGTAGATTGCTTTAGGTAGCATAACCATTTTCACAATATTAATTCTACTAATCCATGAACATGGGAGGTCTTTTCATCTTCGTGTCCTTTTCAATTTCTTGTATTTTATAGTTTTCATTGTAGACATCTTTCACCTCCTGAATTTGGTTTATTCCTAGGTTTTTTTTTTTTTTTGAGACTATTTGAATGGGATTATTTTCCTGTTTTCTTTCTCTGCGTATTTGTAATTGGTGTATAGACAAGCTACTAATTTTTTTTTTTTTTGCAAAGTAGCAGAGTTTTCTTGAGAGTGAGAGTGAAAGCAGGAAAGTACACTTCCTATGGAAGTGGAATGGGCTCAGAGAAAGTTGGATTAAGAGCAGCACCTGTAGCTCAAGAAGCTTGATTTTTGTATGTTGACTTTTATCTTCCTACTTTGCAAGTTATAAAAAAATGTGTTTATGAGATCTAAGAGTTTTCTAGTACTCTTCAGGGTCTTTAAGATTAGTGTCATATGATCCATAAATAGGGCTAATTTGACTTCTTTTCCTATTTGAATATCTTTTCTTCCCCTTGCTTTATTGCTCTAGTTAAGAATTCAAGCACTATACTACATAAAAGTGGAGAGATGGTGAGCACTTTGTCTCATTCCTGATTTTAGAGGAAATGGTTTTAGTTTTTCCTGATTTAATATAATGTGGGCTGTAGGTTTGTCATTTACAACATTTATGATGTTGGGGTATGGTCCTTTTATTCCTAGGTTCTTTAGGGCTTTTATCATGAAAGGATGCTGAATTTTGTCAAAGGCCTCTTCTGCATGTGTTGAGATGAACATGTAATTTGCTCCTGATTCTGTTTATGTGCTATATTATGTTTATTGATTTGTGTATGTTGGACCATCCTTGCATCCCTGAAATGAAACCAACCCGATCATGGCATAAGATCTTTTTAATGTGATGTTGAATTAGGCTTGCAATTATTTTATTGAGGATTTTTATATTTATATTCATTGGGGAAATTGGTCTGTAATTTTCTTTTTTTTTTGTTTTGTCCTTATCTGGTTTTAATATCAGAGTAGTATTTGTTTCATAAAATAAGTTTGGTAATGTTCCTCCCCTTTCTATTTTACAGACTAGTTTGAGGAGCATTTGTGTTAGTTCTTCTTTAAAGGTCTGGCAGAATTCAGTGAATCCATCAGGTCCTGGACTTTTGTTTGTTGGAGACTATTACTGCTTCAATCTCATTGTTTGTTATGGTCCTGTTTAGTTTTTTTATATCCCTTGTTTCAATTTTTATAGGTCATATATGTCTTGAAATAGATCTGTTTCTTCTAGATTTTCCACTTACTGGAATAGAAGTGTTTAAAATATTCTGTAATGGTTCCCTGGGGTTCGGTGATAGCTATTGTAATATCCTCCCTTCATCTCTAATTTTATTAAATTGGGTCTTTGCTTTCTCTCACTTTCTCTTTCACACACACACACACACATACACACACTTGTGTGTTTTTTCTTTTTTTTTTTTTTTTTGATAATTTGGGTAACGGTTTGTCCATCTTGTATATCTTTTCAAAGAAACAACTCTACTTCATTAATTCTTTGTATTGTTCTTTTTGTCTACTTCACTAATTTCCATCTCATATTTATTAATTTTTTTCACCTACTAATTTTGAGTTTGGCCTGTTCTTGTTTTTCTAAGACCTTGAGGTTCATCATTAAGCTATTTCTTTGAGATCTCTCTTGATTTTTTTTTTTTTTCTTTTTTTTGGTGGTACTGGGGTTTGAACTTAGGGCCTCGCACTTTCTAGGAATGTGCCCTACCACTTGAGCCAGCGCTTTTTTTGTGTGTTGTGTAATTTTTGGGATAAGGTCTTGCTTTTTTGCCCTGAATGGCTTTGAACCATGATCCTCCTGATCTCTGCCTCCTGAATAGCTAGGATTACAGGCACCAGTGTCTGACTTCTCTTGATTTTTTTTTTTTTAAATGCAGGCACTCATAACTATAAACTTTAATCTTAGAACTGTCTTTGTTATATTGCAAAGGTTTTGGCAAGTTGTGTTTTTCATTTTCATTTGATTCTAGAAATTTTAAATTTTTCTCAGATTTCTTCAATGACGCACTGATTATTCAAAAGTGTACTTTGTTTAATCTCCATGTGCTTGTGTGGTTTCTCTTGATTTCTAATTTTGTTCTGTTATGATCTGATAAGGTACAAGAAATCATTTCAATTACTTTTTGAAGAGTTTATGATCTATTTTGGAGAAAGGTCCATGGACTGCTGAAAAGAATGTGCATTCTGCAGCTGTCAGGTGGAATATTCTATAAATGTCTGTTAAGTCTATTTGATCTGTGATGCAGTTTAACTCTGAAGTTTGTTTTTTTTAAGTGCAAGTAATAGTAAAGTTTATTAGGAAAGGAATATACTTTCAGTAGACTGCAAGCAGGTCATCTCTAGAGAGAGAACATCGGTGGCAGGTTTTGGGCTGTTGGAGTGGCTCAAGTGGTGGAGCACTTGCTAGCAAGCACAACGCCTGGAATTCCTCAAAAAACAAAAAGACTTTTGTTGAAGCGGAAGGGGCTTGGAGCATTTTGGAGCATTAAGTCCCTCCCTACGACTAGCCCCTGAAGTTGAAGTCATGGTTATGGTGATGAGGCAAGGATAGGCCTATAGATTTACAAAATACAAAGTATTATTGGAGGATCAGTGTCGGGGGGGGAGGGGCAAGTACCGTGACTGGCATGAAGGTGGCAAGAAGAAACACTTGGAACAGCCCAAGAAGCAGGCCAAGGAGATGGATGAGGAAGGCAAGGCTTTCAAGCAGAAACAAAAAGAGAAGCAGAAGAAACTCAAGGAGCTAAAAGCTAAGGCTGTAGGTAAGGGTGCCCTGGTCACCAATGGAATTACATCTGGCAAAAAGTAGGTCTGAGATGATGGTGACCTTGATTCCATTCCTAAACATCTAGATTCCCTGCCATAGCATCTTTTGCCACTTACAGCTAGAATGGTTGACTTAAAGTCTGTTATACGTTTAAGAATAAGCAAATTTTGTAAAATAAAAAAAGCATAGAAGAGTGGCTCATTGTGTCTAGTTTGTCAGCCACTGTTTCAGCCATTTGTACCTCAGCTGTGAATTTAAATCCAGCCTGGAATCTTGCTGAACTCTGCTCTTTGGTCTTTGTTGTCTCTGAATTCTGTGTGATCTTGAATTAAACCAACTCATTTGAAAAAAAAAACAAAACAAATAACACCAAGTATTATTGGA